AAGGCTCAGAGGCTAGGGATTTTTTCAAAGGTATTTTGGGGGAAGAGATGGAGGTTGCTAGGCAATGGGTGCTTGCTGATTGGTTGGGGCTGCAGTTATAGGGGTGTGGGAAATGTTTCTCCTATGTGCTGGGTCACTTCTGGGTGGGACCACAGGGATGGTTGGCTGGTCCAGGTAGAGTCATCAGTAGTCAGACATGCAAAGCACCTGAAAAGGTTGTCTCAGAAGGCCAATCTTAGGTTCTACAATAGTGATGTTATCTGCAGGAGTAATTGGGGAACTTGCATATCTTGTGACCCGAGGAATAATGGCTGGCAATTCTTTATGTCTACACCTTAGTAGAATTCAGTCTCCTCTATCCTCCTAGCCTAGTGCTCTTTCATTAGCTTTGCAAAGGCAGTTGAGTTTTGGGGAAGGGCTATCATCATTTAAACTAGAAACTAAGTGTCTCCCAAGATTAGTTTGACTTAAGCCTAAGAATAATTAAGGGCAGATTGAAGGCTAAAGGCAGGATGGGGATTGGCTAGATCAGCTCTCCCTTACTACCATAATTTTATCACTAATAAAATTTATGCAACGGTGGTTTCAATTTCATGACTTCAACCTCACAAGAGACTTAGTCAAAACCAGTCATAGGTCAAGCCACACCCTAATGTAACTGCTCAAGGGGTTCACCTTGCCTGCTGCCTAGGGACAGCCAATTTACCAAGACATGGGAATTGCAATAGAGAAAGTAATTCACACAGAGCTGGCTGTGTGGGAGACCCAAGTTCTATTACTACTCAAATCAGTCTCCCCAAACATTTGAGGTTCAGGATTTTTAAGGATAATTTGATGGGAGTGGGGTGGGGCAGTGAGTCAGGAGTGCTGATTGACTAGGTCAGACATGAAATTATAGGGAGTTGAAGCTGTCTTCTTCTTGTGCTGGGTCAGTTCCTGGGTGAGGGCCACAAGATCAAATGAACCATTTTATCGATCTGGATGATGCCAGTTGATCCATCAAGTGCAGAGTCTGCAAAATATCTCAAGTACTGTTCTTAGGTTTTACATTGGTGATGTTAATCCCCAGGAGCCATCTGGGGATGGTCAGAATCTTATATCATTCAGTTGCATGACTCCTAAATATGACTCACAAATATATTTGTGAAATGATTGATCTCTAAATTGTGCCATAACAAATCTTCCCAAAAGGTAATAACTTGAAACAGCAATAATCATATATTATCTCCCACAATTTCTATGGATGAGTGAAACCACCACTGAAAAATTATAACTGAGACAGTGAAAGAGATCTGACCCGGGCAACGTCATCTTGCTTCTAACCTCCAAGCTATCCTTGCTCATGTTGTTTTCTGAAGGAAAAAGAAGGAGGAAGGTGATTTTTGACTGTAGAACACTTCTGAGCATGGAAAGCACATCTGATTAGAGACTTTATCCAGTCAGAGGGAAACCGGGGACATAGGAAACCATAGGGTATAAATCAGAAGGAAAAATGGGAAAAATCCAAAGGAACATTTTGCTTCCCTGGAAATTATGCCGAGCCAGCTCTTTTGAAGACGCTAACGGCTACGAAAATCACAACCATTTCTAAGTCACCCCAGAGCTCATATAAAATAGCCAGATCCTATGACAGGTTGCCTGCTTTGTTTCTTTTGCTTAGTTCTGAGGGTTTATAAGAGGAAGAGTGAAACCACCAAGCCTAACTTTTCTCTAAGGTGGGTCAATTGACTGCTCACCATAGGCAAACTGCAGATTTTGCAGGCCCCTGGAAAGTTGTAATTGCAGATTGACTCCTCCATCCTAAGAGGAGGAGGAGTAAAGCTGCTCACTAGGCTCCAAGCTGGGTAGAGAGCCTGGTCAAACTGTTGGTGCCTCATGACTCAGGAGTCCAACAGCAAGACACCTTGTGAGAAAAGATTGGAAGCACTGCCAGAGCCCTGAGGACTTCCCAGCAAGCCTAGGCATGTGAATGCCTAGGAGATGGCCAGCTGGAAAGCAATCTTGGGTCTCAAAAGATTTCTCTGCTCTCTTGTGAAAAACAATAATCTTCACTTCCGGCAATGACCCTATTAAAAATCTCACTTCGGTTGTCTCTAAAGTTCTTTCAATATCTAAAAAAATTTTGGCATGGTCTTATATCACAACTATGGCCAAGAGGAAGCAAATAAAGTCTGGAAATCTTAATAGTTTTTTTTTTTTTAATTAAAGAGTTTCTAAGATTAACTTCTCTCTGCAACTTACAGCTTCTTAAAGTAGAAAAGATAAAAGTGTCATCTAAACAAAAATGCCCCAAACTAAAGCTGGCTTAAATGGGGAAAACTCATAGAGTTACTTGTGTTTTAAACACATATACAATATAAATGGTGTCAAAAGTTTAGAATCTAGAATTTTAAAGTCTGTTTAATGTTATCTACGGAATACATTCTAAATCTGAAAGCAACACAAGAACAATATTTCTCTTAGTGCTTATTTCAGGTTTCTTTTGCCCCAAATTAATTGGGAAGCAGGGAAAAATAAAAAAATTAAAAATGCTTCATCCAACCACAAGGAGACAGCCAAACACTCTTGGCCAAGCTATTTACCTGGGCAGCCTGCACGTAGAGAGCGGAAATGGCTCTCTCTTCTTCCCTTCTCTCTGATAAAAGAATACTGAGCTTTTCTTTGAATGAAAGAAGAATCTCTACCTTCATAGTGAGACATAACTTTAAGGAGGAAAATAAAAATACTCCTTGGAAAGTACATAGTTATATAGTTAAGGGTTTTTTTTCCCCCCTTAACAGAAAATTTATAAACCTACCAAAACATGAACATTATCAAAAGATCAGGGACAAACATCTTTGCCATATATATAGATTTTTTTAGAGACAGCTTATTCAAATCACCCAAAAGAAAAATGACTTACAACCTAGTAGAAAAAATGGCAAAAGAATGTGAAGTGGCAATTTACAGAAAGCAATATAAATAGTTATCATACAAGAGATGTTCAGTTTCACTCATTCATGAAAACGCAAATAAAAAAATAAATGGGATATCACGTTTTACTTCTCAGGAAGACAAAAAATTAAAAGTTTGAGGTCATCTGGTGCTGTTAGAGATCTGGAAAATGTCAACTGTCATACACTGTGAGATAATAATTTGGTATAATTTTACAACAGGAAAATTTGCCAATACCTATCAAATTATAAAATAAACATACTTTTGACCTAATAATTTTACTACATATACACACACTCAAATAAAGTTTACTTCTAAAAATGCCCCTGAATATACATGAAAAAAGTTTATGTTAATATGTGTGTTTAGGCCGGGCACGGTGGCTCACGCCTGTAATCCCAGCACTTTGGGAGGCAGAGGCGGGTGGATCAGGAGGTCAGGAGATCAAGACCATCCTATCTAACACAGTGAAACCCCGTCTCTACTAAAAGTACAAAAAAATTAGCCGAGCCTGTTGAGGCGGGTGCCTGTAGTCCCAGCTACTGGAGAGGCTGAGGCAGGAGAACGGAGTGAACCCGGGAGGCGGAGCTTGCAGTGAGCCAAGATCTTGCCACTGCACTCTAGCCTGGGGGACAGAGCAAGACTCCATCTCAAAAGAAAAAAAAAAAAAAGTGTGTTTAATTATGTGTGTGTGGCATGGCCTTATCTTCACACATGCGGGTGTCCATTGCAGCCCTGTCTGTAAAACATTAAAACTAGATACAACCAAAGTCCATCTGCAGGGATTAAACAAATTGTGGGACTGTAAAATAATAAATCACTATGAAATTATTTGGAAATATCACATAATGCAAGTGAAGAAAGTAAAATGTAGGACAGTCTATCTAGTATGATCATTTTGTTATAAAGTCAACATACAAATGTGCAGGGAAAAGAAAGATACAGGTACATGCAATACCCCGGCTTCCTGCACCCCACTGTAAGATATATAAAACTGTCAATCAGTTACACTTTGGAGAAAGTCTGGGAGGTGGGGATGAAAGAAAATAATTTTATTTTTTTGATTTGTACATTTTTGTATATTTCTAGCCTCATACATTGTTGATTTTATAAAAATACGAAAAAGTTATCTGAGACGGAAAATTATCCAACTCTTGTTTTCTCCTTTGTACTTCTCTGCATTAAATAAATATTAACTAGTACGTTAATATATATATTTTTTCCTGGCTCTTTTTCTTGCATGTCGAAAATCAAAGTTAAATTTCTCTGCCAGTTATATAATTAAAGCCTGTCAGATTCAAAGAGAAATTACGAAAAGTTATTTTCTAAGAAAGGGAGGACGTAAGGATGCACCACTGATGATCTTACTCTTAATAAATCCCTGTCTTTAAACAGCAATAGGTTTTCTAGCCAATCTTTTAATGTGATTCTTCTGCTCATGCCAATTCACGTCTGGGGATGGTTTCGCTGCCTTTAAACACTAAAGAGTTGTCAGGCAAAGGCTCCAAGTCGGGTGTCTTCAGGACAGACATTGAAACACAGAAAGGACCAAAAAAACAGAAGTAAAATAAACCTGAGAATGTAAATAAAATGGACAAATTCCTTTAAAGGTAAAAATTAGCAAAACTACAACATGAAAGAGAAATTCTGAATAGTTTTATAGCTATTAAACAAATGGAATTACTAAGTAAAATCCACTAACAACTACTATACTATTATATGTGCTAAAATCTAAAAACTGACAATAGCTAGAATGATCTATATGGTAATTGATTAGGAGACATTAATATGAATTCACATTAGATTAATGTAGACATAGAGATAGATTATATGTAGAAATATTTATCGATTATATACTGCTGGAGTGAAAGCACACAGACATCTGTATAAAAAGGATCATTATCTCTTACATCATAGCATATTAAAAAATGAACTTAAAATAGATCACAGACCTGAAGGTAAAACTTAACTATAAAACTTCTTGTAAAAAAAGAATAAAAATCAAAATCTTTGTATCCCTGGGATAGGCAAAGATTTTTACACAGAACACACAAAGCACAAAATAATAAATTGTAAAAATTAAAAAATTGTATTTTATCAAATGAAAACCTTTTTCTCTTTGTAAGACAACATTATGAACATTAAAAAGTAAGCCACCGAGTGAGCGGAAATATTTGTAATATGTAGATCTGACAAAGGACTTTATTCAGAATACATAAAGATATATCACAACTTAATAATGAGACCAACCAGCTACTTAATAAATGAGGAAAATATTTGAAAAGACATTTCAAATATGTGAGGGCAAAGGGTATACGAGACATCTCTGTAATTTCCTTTCAGTTTTGCTGTGAACCTAAAACTGCTCTAAGAAAATAACGCCTTTTTTAAAAAAGTAGGCATTTTATAGCATAGGCTAAAACCGCATATGCAACCATGACATAATTCTATGGATACCCACACATCATATGTAAATGTTCTTTGACCGGGTCTTAAAAAGTAATATAAAATGAAATAAAGAAAATCAAATAATTTCTAATCAATCTGTTTAGAATCCTGGGGATTTTTCATTTAGCTACACTTACTGCAGAGATAACATAAGATGCAAGAGACAAACCAAAAAAAAAAGAAAGAAAGAAAGAAAGAAAGGAAATAAGAAAGAAAGTCCGTTAAGCAGAATTTAAGTTGTCACACATTTATAGCCCCACCAAACGGGTACATTTGTTAACAGCTGATGAACCTATGTTGACACATCATAATCACTCAAACTCCACAGGTTACACTGGAGTTTGCTATTGCTGTTGTACATACTATGGGTTTTGACAAATGTCTAATGACACATATCCATTATTATAGTGTCATACAGTTTCACAGCCTTAAAAATCCTCTGTGCTCCAGGTATCCATACCCCAAACCGCAACCCTTGGTAACCACGGATCTTTTTATGGTGTCCATAGTTTTGTCATTTCCAGATGTCATGTACTTGGAATAAAGAGTATGTAGCCCCTTCAGATTGGCTTCTTTCACTTAGCAATACGCATTTAAGTTTCCTCCATGGCTTTTCATGGCTTGATAGCACATTTGTTTTTAGTGCAGAATAATATTCCATTGTCAGAATGTATGTACCACAGTTAATTTATTTGTTCACCTACTGAAGGACATCAGCATCATGGTTACTGCCAAGTTTTGACAATTATGAACAAAGTTGCTGTAAATATATATATAAAAAAGAAAAGACATTTCAGAGAAGAACATATGACATCCAATAAGTACATTTAAAAGTAGTCAACATCATAAGTCATCAGAGAAAAAAGTTAAAATCACAATGAGATACCTCTATATACTCATTAAAATAGCTAAAATTAAAATGACTATCATCAAATGTTGGTTGGAATATAAAGCAACTAAAAATGGTATTTTCTTAGGAATAAAAAATGGTAAAACCATTTGGAAAAATGTTTGACAGCCTCTGCTAAAGCTGAACATATATCTACCATTAAACCCAGATATTCTACTCCTTGATATTTGCCTAAGATGAAAACATATAGCCACACAAAAACTTGTACACAAATGTTTATGGCAATTATTTTTTGATAATGAAAAATCGGGGGGAGGGGACCCAAATGTCTATAAAACAGATGAATGTGTAAACTGCAATGTGTCCATACAAAGAAATAACAATTAGCAACAAAAAGATCAAACTACTAATTTAGCAACATAGATGAATCTCAAAATTATGTTGATTGAAAGAAACAGTGCATTCTGTATTTTTATACTTTTGTACAAAATTTAGAAAATGCAAATAATCTATAATGACAGAAAGTAGACCTGTGGTTGCCCGGTGCCAAAGGCAATGTGTAAAGTCAATTTTAGAGAGGAAAGAGGATTTGGGGAGGGAGATGGTGATAAAAATGCTGTCTCCATTGTAGTGACGGTTTCTTGAGTGTATATGGGTGTCAAAACTCACGTAATTGTATTTACTGAACATAAATTATATTGCAATAAAGTCTTTTAAAGAGTCATTTACCTGCTATTTTAGACAGAAATCATCAAGAATTGAGAGAAACATACGCAAGAGTTGGAGTAAAAGGTGGAGCCAAGGTTTAGTCCTATCTGGTAAATATCAGAAAGACAGAATCAAGAGAAAGATATCTTTGGTCTTAACTGCAAGAGATGGCGACTTACCAGGTCTGACACTGATGTGTTCAAAGGTTCTGGAGTCGTGATAGGAGATGTTATCTCACCAAGTTGCTTTCTGTGATCCATTCCTTCTTTAGCTGATCCCCATACTCCCTGCCCCTGAAGCTATATAGATTCCAAGGTTAACACCCATCTTAGAACTCTACCAAATAAATAGTAAGATATTATCTGTTAAGCCAATGTTTCAAGTAGTGATGTCTAAAAATCATTTAATGTCCTCTTCCTTCAACACCCGACCCCAGTTGAGACATTTGACTTTTAACAGGGTGCTCCCACATTTACTAGAATCCACACTGTAAACTCTCTAAAGGTGTGAGTCACGGCACTAAGGCTGATGAAGGGCAGGATGAGTTCAATCAATGGAGCTTTTAGCTTGGCTGCTGCAACCATGAGATATTTTCCCCTCTAACAGTAAGGTCAGCCCTACCAAACTGTAAAAGAATGAAGACCACGACTTTTAGCAAATGCAAAATCACCCACACAAAATCAGAGTGTCCCCAGGACAAATGGCACCTTTGCTGGACATCTTCTGAGTTCTACCATTGTTGTCATCTTGTGCTTCAGTAGGGGACTCAGGTGCAAAGGTAGGGCACACCTGCCCCAGGTGACCTCCTCAGAACCCTGACCTATTTCTTTCAACTACTTGCCCATATGCAAAGGCAACCTAGTAGAATCAAAAGAGTTTCTTTTTAAAGCAGGTGTGTGACTTTGTGTGGGCAGCTTTTTAACTTCTCCCTGTGAGAAATGCTAACATCTTGAGCAGTCAAAAATTATATAGCATGTGTAGCAATTGTTTCACAAGCTAATAATTTTTCTCCTCCCCTCCTTTTCCCTTCCCTCACTGCAAGCTGTAGTGGCTTGAATTGTGTGCCACAAAAAGATACACTGAAGTTCTGATTCCCAGTACCTGTGAATGTGGCCTGATTTGAAAACAGGGTCTTTGCTGATGTAATTAGTTAAGGATCTCCAGATGAAATCGTCCTGGACTTAGAGTAAGCCCTGAATGCAATGAGTGGTGTCTTTATAAGAGGAAAGGACACGCAGAGGAAAGGACATGCAGAGACACAGAGAAGAAGGCCATGTGAAGATAAAAGGCAGAGAGGAGTGACGCAGCTGCAGGCCACGGAGCACCAAGGACCACTGTGAACCACCAGTAGCTAGGAGGAGGCAGGAGAGGTTCTCCCCTAGAGCCTTCTGAGGGAGCACGGCCCTGCTGTCACCTTGATTTCTGACTTCAGGCCTCCAGAACTGTGAGAGAATACATTTCTGTTGTTTTAAGCCAGCCAGTTTGTGGAAATTTGTTATGGCAGCCCTAGGACACGAAATATACAGAACAATCCTATATCGGTGCACCCAGAGCACCAGTAATATTTAATTTAGACCATGTCCCAAAGCTATGTCAGAGGAGCAAAGAACTAAAATTATGATCACTAATTTTTCATGCTGGATGCAGTGGCTCATGTACTTGGGGAGGACGAGGCAGAACGATGGCCTGGGCAACACAGCAAATTCTCTCTACAAAAATATTTAAAAAAATAAAAAATTTGCTGGGTGTGGTGGTGCATGCCTGTAGTCCCAGCTACTCAGGAGGCTGAGGTGGGAGGATCACTTGATCTTGGGAGATCAAGCCTGCAGCTGCAGTGAGCCAGATTATGCCACTGCACTCCAGCCTGGACAACAAAGTGAGACCCTGTCTCAAAAAAAAAAAAAAGTAAATCTAGTTTAAGGTAGAAGCCAAATATTAAATGATATCATGTAGAGAAAAACCAAGAGCTGTTAAAATTGCATAGTGGTACCAGTATTTTGAAAAACAACCTGGTATTATCTTGTAAAGCTGAAGATGTGCACATCCTTTCACAGAACATGACTGCAGTAGAGAGACCGTTGCACATATTGGCAAGTGTAGGAATCTTTCTCAAATGTTGTTTCTGATAGCCACAAACTGGAAATAATCCAGATGTCCATCAACAGAATAACAGTACACAAAATACACTGTATATTTACAAATAAAGTGTTATTCTACAGGGCATATTCATAAAATACAGCTACATGCAACCAACTGGATGACTTTTTCAAACATGATGTTGAATCAAAGGCAAGAATATATACATCGAGAGAGCATGATTTCATTTATATAAAATCTTGAAGATAGTTATCAAACGTAAATTACGTTATTTGAAGATGAATACTTGGGTAGCAAAACTATAAAGAAGAACAAGATAGCGATTAATATAAAATTCAGGATAGTAGCTAACTCTAAGAGGGAAAGTCAGTGGTTATGACAGGGAAGAAATATACAGGGCTGAGGGGAGGGGTGGGCTTTTATTGCATTGGTAACTTTCTTTTTATTTGATTGGGTGGTGGTTTCGTGATTATTTATGTTTTTTCTATACCTTTATTCATTATATTCTTTTTCTTAATATAAAGTATTTTTAAAATAATTCTTTTGAAAAATGATAAAGGATAAAAAAGGAATGAAACATATCAGCAGAAGCATAAAATGTTCCTATTCACGTTGAAGAAATGTATATGTTTTCATGTGGTTCTTTCACATTATCTTTCCCGCTCTGGTTTCCAGTCTGTCAGCTAAACTCTTGTCAAGGCATTTTCTACTGAAATCCATGGTTCTGGAAAAGAAAGGAATATGATGAAAAAGCTCAGCAAATCTTAACCGTTACCTTGGGGTCAGGGCTCTATGGAGAATGTGGTTTAGCTTTACCACAGACTACCTCCCCCAAAGCTGCTAACTGGTGACAGAGCTTGGTTGGGGATTGGTGTAGGTGCGGAAAGAGGCCAGCTAACATGTAGCACTTTACCAATTCAGAACGGATTTTCACATGGTCTCGTCTGAGCCTCACCCTAGATCTGTGAGAACACCTTACTGCTGCTGTTATACTTTTGATATTGCTAATGCTGTCGAGAAATTAAGGGACTTCTGCAAAGTCACAAATTAGGGAAATGACAGGGCCAGAATTAGAAACCAAGTTTTCCCCAGTGGAATTTGATGACCTTTAATGGGGTTCTGCGGCAAACTTACTGACATCCACATAAATGTGGCAGGAGACTCTGCAGTACTTAACTGATTTCATGCAAATGTCTCATACTCTGGCTGTCATGGTGGGCTGTGAGCCAGCAGGCTCTGACGGGCTGTGCAGAACACAGACATTGTTTAAGCTAATCACAGTATATCTGAAGACATTAGTCTTTTGTAAGGCTTGTACGTATGGCATAGTCAGAAGACAACATTAATATTGCTCATGAGGGTTTGCACTGCTTAGCAAAGTCCTTCGTTTCTCTTCCATGTGGTTGATATTCCAACCCCCCAAATATTACACACTCCTAGCCAAACTTCAGTTCTTTACAAACTCAAAACAATGAATCACTTAGTAAATCATTTCAGATAAATAGACAGAATCAATCTCCGTTTGGATTTCCTGCTAAAGAAAGTAGTGTGCTGACCCCGGCTGTTCCATATTGCTGCCCTCCATGCCAATAAATCGACCATTTGCAATATTGCTTCTGCCAAGAAATCCCCCAGGTCCTCATGAGGTTTCAACAGAGGATATATGAAAAGACTGAACAAATATCATTGTTTCATCCTCATTTCTGTCCTCAAAGCTTTTGCAAATTTAAGCAAGCTATTTTTTATGATCTCCTCAACAAATTGTAGAAGTCTATTGAAACCATTCCTGATATTAGTACTTTGAGTTTCGGTGTCAAAAGGTAAAGTTTGCATCCATTAAACGCTTTGATAAAGTAACTTTGAAATAAAATACAAGCTAAAATAAAATCCAAACTGAGGTCCCAGTCAGCATTAAGATGGATATTTCTCTTGCTTTTTCAAGATGATTCTATCATACACAATGCACTTGAGACGTACGCCAATGTAATTTTGCAGAATGGTAAAGCTTTGTTAAGATCACTAGAATCTGGTAGACAGAGACAAATCAAAGATGGCACTGTAATGAAAGAGCGCATGGTTGCAATGGTGTTTGCTTATTATCTATTAAGCTGCATGTGATGCTGGATTTAGGCATGATTTACTCCCTATTCTAAGATGAGACTGGTCACCTCATGGATATGTAAAAGAGCATTCAGGTCACCTCCTTTTCTCTCCTCAGCCCTGCGTGAGAATTACCTTCATAGTACAATTGCACAGGCCTTCATCACCTAAAATAATCTCTCCAATTCAAATGAAAAACAAGAAGAAAACGAGTTGGAACCTTAGTACAGTATACCTCATTTGAAGAATTAGGAAACCCTACATCTAGAGTTTATCTTTCAAGTTAGGATGGCACACCTATCACATAATCAACATATAAGAATAAGGCAATTATTTTATTTTTAGAGTCTGGTAGAGTTCAAGGAAAGGCCATGGAGAGAATGACTGTCATCTGGAGCTGGAATCTAGCGTATCTGAGGTGCATGACTCTGGTGAACCAAGTAACAATGGCATCTCTTTTCTCAGTGCTCTCACTGTGCATCTACATCTAAATGAAATTGTCTTGGATATGAGAATACACAAAGATATAAAGAAGAACAAATCAGTCTGGATTCTTAGACCAATAATTGCAGAAAAATTTAAGTATTTTTATATCTACAGGAAACCCTCACTTGAAATTGCTGGAAGACTTAAAACTCATAAACCTCAGTTTCCAAATCTGCAAAATAAGGATAATAACTGTACTTTCTTTACTGGGTTGCTGTGAAGGTTTAATGAAATCATGTAAGCACTTAACAAGAAGTCGAATACCTAGTAATTGCTTAATAAAAGTTACAATTAATGATTATATTTACATTATTTCCCAGCTAAAATATTCATTTGCATATAAAATTTTAAGTTTAATAAGGTGAAACAATAATAAAAATACCATATACCAGAGTATGGTGTTGCAACCTAAAAATCAATTTTTCCTCCATTATGTCATTTACTGTTCACAGACATCTCAAGGTTCTATATTTCCATATTCCAGAAGAGAAAACCAAAACTAATCTCTCTGGGGAGTTCATACACAGGAAGCAGAAATCTTGCCTTGCACTTGTATAAATCTATCGTGTTAAAGACTGTCTCAGACATTTCCCAAAATTGGTTTCAACTATTTTAAACTAATATGACTTTGAACTATATTTTTATAATTTTGATCACAACAAAATGTTCTTAAATTATACTCTGACCATCCAGTCAGAAGTGCCATATTCAAGTAAGCCTTTTTCATTTTCCTTTTGTGTCTCTTTCTTTAAAAAGAAGGAGAATAGTAAAGGTATGCGTGCAGGAATATGTCATGTATGCAACGGCACCTCATGAGATTTTAATCAGCAGGTATCTCAGGGATCTTTTGCAAGCAGGATGAAATAGAGGTGTAAATAAGGTAGTAGCTTTATTTCGTTTGCTTGTTTTCAACAAAGGCTTTATCCAATTAACCATGGGGTAGGTTAATGATAATTTATTATAGAAAAACTGTGTTAAATCTATGAAGTGTTGTTATTTTCATGGGAGTTGTGGGGTGATTAGAAAGATTTGATGGTTCCTTAAAATAGCAAATGACACCTATTCTAGGTAAAGCAATGAGCTAGCTCCCTCCTGCCTGAACAATAGAATCATCTGGAGCTTTCAGAAATGACTCAAGTCTGCAAATCACCCCCAAGAGATGGTGACTTAATGGGTCTGCAGTGGTGCCTAAACACTGTATATGATGTAAAAGCTCTTCAGGCATTTCTAGTCTGCAGCCATGGTTGAGAGTTACTTTGATATTACTGTGGTAGATGAATAAAAAACAAAATTTAATGTCCCAACAAGGAGCTTCAAATCCTGCTTAAGGAAAATATACTTCAAAAATTTATTGATATACTTTCACCAGGTGCTGAATGACCTGATTGCTGATAAATTTCATATTCCTTTCTCTTCCTTTCTCTCCTGTCTCATCTATCCCTCTAGCAATAAAATGATTGGAGGCCAGAGACATAGAGAAATTACACCTTAGAATAAATTGTAGAAATGTCAAGGGCCACTTAATAATGTTTTGTTGCAGATACCCTTAATTATTCAGAAAGGACAGTTTTTTGAAAAAGAGTGCCCGACAAGTATCCCCAAAAAGTGTGCCCAAAAAGTGTCCAACTATAATTATACATGCTTGGGGAGTATGCTAATTGTGAAAACTGAGCATTAAGAATGGATTGTGCTGGCTTTATTTAAGGCTCTGTTGATGCTCACGTGTTTGGTGATAAAAAGGAATCCAGGGCTTTCCCATTAGTTTTATCTTCGTCCCTGCCGCTCTCACTAAACCACATGAAGCTATAATGTGAACCCAGTTTTGTTATACCATGAGGAACGAAGCTTGCCTTGTTCATAGGCTATGCCAAAAGCTGGAAAAGTCCCAGTGGAGGAAATCTGATTCCAATTTGGGTATGAAAGTACAATTCCCCCCTGCCAGGTTTAAATTGAGAGCATATTACTCATTTTTAGTTAATTTCTCAGCCTACAGAATAATTTGGCACATGTGTGCAGTATATGTTCTCTCAGCTGCTTCCTTAGGGACCCCGACCTTGATGGGATAGTCGTAATT